CACCTCCTGCAACCCGCGCTCGCTTCGCGCAATCTTTCAACATAAAACCACGAGACTTCATGTCAAAGCAGATGGGCTGGAATTGTGCCAAGCAGAAGGGAGGAGGGCCCGCCTGGTCCAAAACTGCATTGCGAATCTGCAAACTAAGCCGGTAGTTTCCCCCTGGAAAGAGAGTGATGGCAGCATTCGCCCTTCACAAACATCCTCATCCTCATCATCACCTATCTCAAGAGCCGCTCCTGGCACAGTACGAGCATTGTGCCATCACGTTGCATGTGATTGGCCAGGAGTGGTCCGGTACCGACAGCCAACATAGCACCCATGGTCTCCAACGAAGACAGGTTTGGGAGGGAGGGCTTCTTGTCATCCCCACAATGTACAAAAGAGTCAGCTGCAATACCGCAGCAAGTTCCGGAAGACACGCACGTGAAGGGAGCTCGATGCCCTCCACACGGCCAGCGTCCAACATAGCTGTACAGTGTCCCCGTTTTTGTACAGGGCGTCGGGGCTTGCGACAGCTTCGGGATTAAGCCTTTCAAAAACCGAGAGACATGTTTCGCCAAGTGGCAGAAACCAACTCCGAAGCGCAGAAGTACTCCGCAAACCCAAGGAAAACACTACCGTGTTGAGAAACCTCATCAGCAAGTTCCACAAGGTAGACGTCAAAGACACATGATGAAAGATGTGAATATGATAATATGAACTTGCTGCTGCTGCTGCGGCAAGAGTGGCGACGACCACGGCCCGGAAACAGGCACTACAAATTAGTTCGGCCTCCACTGACAGGCCCTGCCCTTCGATGGCATCGCGCAAGCGCACAGCACGCAGGCGAGAGAGGGTCTGGTCAAACCTCAAACATGTCAGCATAAGCGTGGGTTCACGTATACATATATACTTGTTCGTTTATGTACATACATTATAAGACAAAACAGTACAACACTGTGATGGTTAGCTTGGACTACCTACACTTGTGCAATGGCGTCTAAGGTCGTCACCAGAGGGTTGAGTTCTGCGACTCGGGCTTGGGGATGAAGGTGCTGTTCACCAAGCTTTACGGCTTCACGACACCGAGCTGAGACATAGTCAATGATTTCCTGCTTCGACCAATTTCGGCGAGGAATTGCAAACCGGGAGACTGCTGCTCACATGAACAAGTGAACTGCTGGCGGGCGAAACTTGCTAAACCACTAGCCCCACGTCACAGCTATGTATGCAGCATGCTGCAATTGACTAAACGCTTCATCATCCTTGCGAAAGGCTTTGCCCTAAACCCTAAACTGCCCTAAACCCTGAACCCGAAACCCTAAACCCGCGGTTGGTTCCGGGTCTTTCTTCAAAATAGAACTAATTCTAGTAGTACCACTAGCACCACTAGTACTACTCCTACTACTAGTACTACCACAAGTACCACTAGTTCTTACTACCACCAGTAATACTGGCAGCAATTTTCGTTTTTTTGTTCGGGGGGGAGGGGCGCGGTGGGTTTCAGCTCAACCCCAAAAACGGACTTGCACGAGACAAAAATCAGTCGCACAAGCTTTCCCGTGAGAGGTGCGTGCTTGGGTCCAGGCTCCAGCCAGTTGCGCTGCAACACTGCCGAAATTGGCTGCTCCTCCGCACCAGATTAGATGAAGCCCACGACAGGTGCTTAGATTAATTTCTGATGGAGAGACTTGCACGACAGTCTTGGCTGTACTTCCATTCTCACGTGTCCACCTGCCTATCACGCGCCCAAGGGGGACACCGCTTGAGCTGTCATGCTGCATTTCACAGGCGGGGCTTGCAGAATCCCGCCAAAGCGCGTTCGGGTGGGCCTGCCAGTTCGCCAAGGCTCGGCGCCTGCAGCTGCCAAGACCTCTGCGAGCATCATGGGAACTAGGACATCCAGCAAAGAAAGCTTCAGTTCCGGAAAGACTCGGCCCGAGCGGCTTTCCAGGAAGCGTCGGCGAGCGAAGGGCTGGTCGTGCTGGAGAGCCTTTCAAGCACAGCTGCATGGACATCTACGAATTTCGATGGGGAGTGTCACGGGTCTGGATCTAAAGTGATCTCAGCAAGCTTCCATCCTTCACTTCACTGTAACAAGAATGCTCATGCTTGAAGGCTCTCAGGATACTGTACTCTGCAGCATCGCAGAAAGTGGTCTAGCCATCGAGCGTCTCTCCGACCATCAGGCAGGACGAAACCTCAATCCCAAAAAGGAACACAGACAGCTACCTCAACTCCCGACGCCCTGAACCAGACCAATATCTCATTTCGACCTGTCCTCTGAAGACTAAGATACCGAGGCAAGCGGCACGAAGCAGCACAGACAGCTCTGGCTCCCTGTAGAAGGTCTGGCAATCCAGGAACCGGGCCACCTGCTGCCTGAGTTTAGGGTGCACTGCTCTTGAGAGATTGGGGTTAGGGTACGTGATGAGAAGTAAGGGTGAATCGTTTAAGGGTGTTGGCTCATGGGTTGTGGGTGTTCACTTCCCTACACAATCCCGACATTAGCGGACCCCGCAGATCCTATGTAGCTGCGCCGAACGGCTCCCAACGTAAAATTGTCTTTCCACAAAGCTCGTCTAAACAGGACCTACTGATTCTGATCTAAACTGCATCCCTGCCTGGCCACTCTTTGGATACACTTGGAACATGAGGAGTTTGGGGTTCTTCCCACTCCCACTCAGGTCAAAAATCCCAAGGTTTCTTGTACAAAGGAACCCAAGGCCCTGCCAAAGCTGGCACGACAAAAGCTTGGGCGACCACATGCTCGACGTCTGAAACTTGGGCCCTGATCCAAAGCCAACTGACCTTAGCAGGCGCATTGAGAGCCTTCGGTCACGGTTCGCGGATGTTCCAAGTTTCAAGGATGGTAGCCCAAGGAGCTGGAGCATTGCAGCTCGTGCGTGTCTAGACAGCCGGAACCCAACCGTCTCACTTAAAGGACGTGCTTGACAGGCGGAGTTGCCATCTCACCTAACAAGGTCTTCCACTGAGGTCAGGGGCGGCATGAAGCGAAATGATTGAAAAGTGCCAGTCCAAAATCCCTGCAGCTTTCGCAAGTCACGCTCTGTGTGTGGGCTCCCAGAAAGTGTTTAGATGCAACAATGCAACTTCAGTCAAAAAGATCCAACGGCTGACGGGAAGCACCGGAGCGAGAGACCCTTGATGAAATCGGTTGACTTCTGCCTCCAAACCCCGCCTCGGAGACTCTCACTCCTGAGCTCCCGGCTCATCGAAGATCATGTGGTTGGACATCACGCAGCGCCTTCGCGTCGCGAAGTCCATGCACTCGCCCTCCCGACTAGATGGCGACAGAGCCGAGTCCCTTCCTCAACCAGAAACCCTGCGCCCACGCTGCTAGGATACTAGGAGCACAAGAAGCTGATTAACGTCGAAGCACTGCGAGAAGCTGTACTCGCAAGCCCTCAACCCAGGTAAGGTCTCGGCAGGGCCACGCTGGTCTCGGGATGCTGCGGAAGCAGTGGTCGGCTGACTCCTTACATGTGGAGTTTTCGTTTTTGGCTCCAGGCTTCCGAAGTTGGGTCTTGGGCTTTCCAGCTTTGTGAGCCTTCCGAGGGGGCTTTGGCATCGGCATTCGGGAAGGGAGAAACAGCAGCCGACTAAAGGTGGTTTCGGGCGCTTCGACGTGTTAAGGTCTGGCATGGAGCAGGTCTGGCATGGCGTGAATCATGCGGTATGAAAAACTCACCTTTCGAGCTTCCACAGACTTTATGCGAGTGATCTCAAGAACCGAATCAGCTTGCTGAAGTCCAGGCTCCTGAGCTTTAATGTGCCGGAACATCAGTGCTGTCGTGTGAGACAGTCTCCGATCTCACAGGCCTACCAACCCCCAAGTTGGCGACGGCAGTGCATGATGCGGCGCAAGGTCTCGGCCTCCGCATTAGATGACACTTTGCGTTCTATAGAGATTTTGAAAATACTGCGATCATGATCCGCTTGCTTTGGATTGAGCAGATTGCCGCTCACCCCTGGCCCTGAGAAATGCGCGAATTGCGATCCCCGGCTTTAGGTCGCTGCGAGACAACTAAGAAAGCCCAAACCCCCAACAAGAGCCGAATTCCAAGTCCCCGGCAACTCAAGAACTTCAGATGGCGAGGGCACTGAAACCCAATAGTTTATTCTGATCACATGCATCGAATAAAGTCGCGCACTCCTTTGCGAGTCCAGATGCCTTGCTTCATCGCGGGACCCTGAACAGCGCATCTCCTGCCTCTGCAAGGGAGAGGATGATGAAGCCACGGCCCTCGTCTCTGGGGCGGAAGTAGGCTGCACCTGGGATTTGTATCTGAGGCGGTCAGGCTGCAGCTACTGCCCAGCGAGTGCTTAAATGCGACAGGTCTGTCACCTATGACCTGTGCAGCTGGCTGCAACGATGTGACACCACTTCTACATCATGAAAGGGGCTAAACTCGACACGGAAAGGGCAACAAAAATGGCAGGAAGGTGTGACAACCACGCTTCTGCAGCGTGTGGGAGTCCCCGACAAGCTGGGAACCGAACGGAGCAGCTTGCAAGCCTCGATGTAGTTGAGGCCTTGACAATCTCAGCAGGACGCTCAAAGTCTTCATCCTTCCTTGCGAACTCATTGACAAGCTTCAAAAAATGTGACTCCCGGTAAGCCCTCTTTTTCGTCGAAGTTGAAGCTGAAGCAGCCGAGTCGACGGCGTGCGCTTTCCGGCTTGTCAGGCAAGACCGCTGCTGCGGCCGCAGCTGCTGCCTCTCGATTGTCTCTGGCAGCTTCTTGGTGTCAAGTTCAACGGACCGAAGCAAAAGCCTGGATCTTTAACATCAACGGTCGACACAGTACATGCGGAGCAGACCGGATCAAGACTGAAAAGTGCGGCCGACATCAGCCAGCAGCAGTGACCACGGCAACAACACATGAAGAACCAGCGACAAGTTTATAGTAGAAAAAGAAAGATACTTGTAGAAGGAAAGAAGTAAAGACAGAGAGAGCATCGCAACAGGCATGCAGCAGATGCTACATGACAGGGTGAGGTCTTACAACTCAATCCTCGAATCAACTCAAGCGGCTGCAGGACCTTGGCACCCAAAGATGTATATCAATGTGTGTATGTATGCATGTATGTATGTACGCATGCATGTTTAACACATACATGTAGTTGTGGACAGACAGATACTCGGATAGATTCTCAGATAGATAGAGTAGGATGGAGATCCGCATCTCTATCACGCAAAAAACCACGAGATTCAAGGGGACAGTCTAAGATGGACTTCGGATCGAGCAGAGCTGAAGAGACGGCAGATGGTATAGCCATGAAGTGACGAGATAAGATACATACGCTGTAGAGTAGGAGAATGACAAACGACAAATGTCGAGCATAGTGTCCACCAGCACGGAGTATTTATCCATATTCACGTCATTGTTGCGATTAATTGGGGCTAAGTGGTGCTATGAGTATTGACGGAAAAGGAATGAATGCTGACCTGCTGACACTCTTTGCTATCCTGCTATGCAAATCTAACAGGCTCTCGCCTTAGATTCTTGAAAAGTCGACAACCAACCTCGATGTCTCCACCACTTTGCAGGACCGCCATGGCCGCAGACACAGAGTGAAAGGCTGTGTCCTGGCCACCAATCAAGCTCTGTGTTCTGGTGCAGTTCCCGGGTTAGGGTCTGTAAGATTCGGAGCGGCCCTTCTTCTTCATCACAAAATGGTGGGGGCTACAGATGGGACGTAGTGTTTGTGAAACTTGTAGGGTCACCTTGCAGTGATGCTTCGAACCCGTTCAGCAACGTGTGGGTTGGTTAAGTTTGGAAGTCGGCATCATTTGACTGAAATCGGTTGCATTCGGAACTCACACTGTCCCTGCTCTCATGTTGGAGTTTCCCTGGCTTCCAAGCCAGCACATGGTGCGCAAAGTTGGGCGTGGGACGCCACCCGGAAATTCCACGACTACCCTACACAGCCCAGGAAGCGCTTGGTGCTGAGCTGCCGACCCAGTCGAACGAAGCCTGAAGCGGGAGCCGTCGAACATTCGAAAAGCCAGAGTTGTGCTGGCTCGAGGGCTCTTGAAATTTCGGAGCAAAAGCTAGCAATAGCTGTGCCAAAGGAACCATACCTGGCACAGCTGTGCAAGTCGGACCTTCCAGTCTCCGACTCTGTAGCCCGTACTTTCATGCACCTGGGTCCCACTGTCGGGTGCTGACGACACCATCGTGCCTGCAGCAGCCTCAGAATCTCCATGTGTTCGATGTCGCCTTCGGGCCTTCGACACTAATTACTTGACTCTCTCCCTCTCTCTCTTGCTTGCACTCAGCCGAAGAGGGGGCAGCAGGAGCGCCCCTCTCGCGCGTGCGCGCACTGGTCTCTGTGTGTCCTTTGTGAGACCCCCTGGTAGGCCAACCCTGTACTTTAACTATAACCCTCTCTCTCGCTCTCTCTCTCTCTCTCTCTCTCTCTCTCTTTGCGAGGCTCGGGGCATGGAGAGCTGGCAGTCCCAGCTCCCCGCTCCTGGGAGCTACGCATCCTCTCTCTCTCTCTCTCTCTCTCTCTCTCACTCGTCTCTTCTCTCTCTTCCTCTCTCTGTCTTCCGCTGTCTTTGGGCTCCGCGCGGCTCGAAGTCAACATGTGCCTGAGAGCTCGGAGACCTTGGCCGCTGCACGTGAAGCTTAGCGGGTCTCGTAGCAGCCTCTCTGAGCCTAAGCTGCAGGATGTTTGACATACTATAGTGGCCTTTATCATTTTAACAGAGCCTCGGGGGTGTATAATCAAGCATGATACTATACAGGAACCCTAAAGCAGCATGAGACGACATTCTACGAATTACATCCTAAACACCATCTAGTTCTCCAGGCGTCCCATCTGCTTGTGGAGAACACCAAAAAGATAGCCTCCATGAAGCAATATAGTATAATTATAGTATAGTTATATATACCAGGCTCTACCCTAGTTACAGTATATATATATATATATATATATATATATATATATACATATATGTATATAAATAATTATGGCATAATATACCAAGGAGTCCTAAGGCTGAGCGATCTCGACCCTGAGCCCCCGATGGCCTCGAGGCCCAGGCAAGGGAGAGCCCTGGGCTTCCTCTGAGCCACTGTACCTCCACTTTGGTGCCATTTCCTCAGCTTTCACTGTCACTCCAGTCTCACAAAGAGCCACATTCCACGCTGACCGTGCATGAGAAGACACCCGTTCCTTTGTGCCAGCCCTGTAAAACTGTCGAGGGTTTACGTTGACTTCACATTCGGAGGCTTGCGAGTTGACGGGGCTTGCAGCCCCCACCCCCCCCCCTCCCAAAGCAAAGAGCTCAACAGCCTCGGCACGGGGGAATGACTCCTACAAGTACTGTCTGAAGCCCAACTCTTTCACCAAAAAGCCCTCAAGCATGAAGGTCCCGGTCCCCAGAAAGACCTGGGTCAGTGGCTCCATCAGCCGCGCCCTTCCGGCTCAGGAGATCCCAGATCTGCCAGAAAGGAGGGTTTAGGGTTCAGCTTTAGGCAATGTAGGGTAGTCATACGGGGCTATAGGGTCATAGCACTTCGGGACTTAGGGTTTTGGACTCGTCGCAGGTCCAGGGATGATGAGTGAGGCGTCTGGGCTGTGATCGCGACTGACAACATGTTGAGGCTTCGACTGGCAGAAGGATCACCGTACATTAGCAAGTAACAGTCTCGCAAAGCGTGCACTGCTGATCCTCTCAGGGGGATGCTCCGAGAGTCTAGCCGTGATGTTGCTCAATCACAAGAGGGAAGTGGGCCACGTATTTCCGGATTTGCACAGTTGTGAGGTAGTATGAGGAATAGTGCTTCTGAGTCTATGCGGCTCAGCCGCCCAATGGGATGCAACATCTTTCACAACGCGCTGCTGTCTGACATTCTGCAAATGGGAGCAGGTGACACGTATAGAGAGGTGAGCTATCACAGGCACCTCCCTCTCATAGAAAACTTGCGCACACGTGCGATGCCATGGCATTTTTCAGGTATTTGACAGCACCAGCACAGATGCCAGGTCCACGCAGGAGTGGTGAGAGCCCAGGTTCCACATAGAGTCGGGGCACCGGAAAACCTGGGCCAGAGGCAATTGTCAAATTTCATTTTCTGGCTTTTACACTTGGTTTAGCTTAGAACAAAAACTGTCTGTAGCCGGGGCCCAGCAACCATGCACAGTTTCGTGATGGCTAAGCCGATGCACAGGACGAAGGTGATGGCAGAATACCGGACGTAGCTCCGGTATCGAATGACCTGCATCTCGGCAGAGCGGTAGGCAAAGTAGTTCTTCAAGTCCTTCCAGGTCACAGGCATTGAAGACTCGTTGATGTGCGCCATGACGTCCTCCACCTTCCTAATGGCCGTGTGCCCATAGAAGAGCACCTTCTCCACGTTGATCAACAAGAAGAGGGCACCACCCAAGCTGAGGCCGATGGAAACCAAGCGCTGGAAGTCCACCGTCTTGTTCCGAGCGGTCGCCCGAAACATGGCATATACCGAAATCTGCACGTGGATCTGCAGCGCACTGTTGAACAAACCCAAGGTAATCACTTTGAGAAAACAGCGAGTCAAGGCGTTCCTCGTGTAGATTTGCAAGGGCTGACGCATGTCGTTCAAGGCCTCCTGGGATGAAGTTACCGACTTGTCGTCGTTGCCGTGGTCCTTCTTTAAGCAATGCAGAAGCTTGTCCAGGACACGATAGGTCTTGACCCGAGGGTAGGATGGGCTCTGCTCGTCTATGAGGTACATGCCCAGGCCACTCGACAGCATCATAACGGAGTCCCCGAACGTGAAGGTTCCTCCAAGGAAGTTTTGGTACTCACCGGAGTTGTCAGCTGTGTTGGCCGGCTGGCCGTTCGGTTTCTCCATGTCCAGGGTAAAGTCCAGCTCCCAAATCCATTGATCGCTTGGCAGAGACTCCAAAATGGCATGGATCAAGGGTGCGAAGGACAAGAGCCAGAAAAACAGCACCTGTGCAGACAAGGGGACGTCACGCATAAAGAATACGAAGCTGGACTGCCGCAACGTAATTTGCCAAATCTCATCGAAACTCGTGTTCGTCGAGAAATCCCCCTCAGTAGTGTGCCCATGGTATGGTAGAGGACAGTGGGAGGTAGCGAACGTCCGGGCAGCAAAGACTGCGTTTGAAAAGACAGCCCCCTGAAATGCCAAAGACTTGGCAGCATTGATGAGGATCCTTCGTCGGAGGATACTCTCGAGGGATTGTTGGCAAAGAGTTAAAGGTTCATGGTTTCCGAAGAGACATGGTCATGGACCTGAACTACATATACTCGCGATAGCATAGTAAAATCATATCTGATCCCAGATCCGAGCTGGTACAACCCATGCCCACAATTCCGTCAGGGCCCACTACAGCAAAATCATCAAACCGAGCTATAGTCCTAAGCTTTTAACCCATTAGCCACAAACCCCAAGTTAAGACCTTGAACCCCACACCTTCTAACCCATTCTAACCCTAAAGCCAACAAGACCACCCTCACCTTCAATGCTTCCGAGCAGCCAAAGCTCTGGCCCCATCTGAACTTTGAGCATCTGAAACCGGCCGACTACCTGGAAGTAGGGTACGACCTGGGAGGTTCAGGGGTCCGACAGCTCTTGGGGTTTAGGCCCCGGGGGTTCGGGGATTTGGTGTTCAGGGTGTGGGATTTGGTTTCGGTTCCGAAGCAGAATTACGCAAGCAGACTCCGCTTGCGACTTTCTGGCGGAATCTCTCGGGCCTTGCGTAAGGCTGTCAGTTTTGGGATTTGCGATATGTAGTTGACTGTGGATGTAGGATCCGATTTGGCAGGTGAGAATGACACAGGCAAAAGTCTACATACTTGCGGGTGTAAGGTCAGCTTCAGCTGCATACATGTATAACTCATGTGCACAGCTTCTGGGACTTCTTGAAGGTCCAATGCCTCTTCGGAGGATGCACATTGCAAGGCTGCGTTGGAGTGTGGATCTCCGGCAGTGCGCGGGATTCTCGGTGGTTCAGCTGAGCTGCTTAGCTCTTCCAGCCATATGATAGGTTAAAGACAAAGAGTCGCAAAGAAACTTCACCATGCAACTGACTGAAGACGCGATACACCCTGACAGGCCACAATGAACCCCGAATTTCGGCAAGCTGTGCCTTCAACCCTCAAGCCTGAGGGAGGCGATCCGACCCTGAAGCCCAAGTCCATGCGAGCCGCTGTGTAGCGAAAGATGCGGACTTCTTGTACGAAATGCAGCACTGCAAAGGGCAAGGCGCAGAACCAGATCCAATACGGGACAGGCTTGTCCATGCCATTCTCACAGGAGGAGCCCCAGTAGACCAAGATGAAAATCCTTACTTAAGTTGCAGTCTTGTGGGTGAGTGTATGCGGTATCTGCAGCATTCCTAACATCAAACTGAGAAGTTTGCTCTAACATGTCCGAATGTCACAGTAGGCCCCAATACCGATGCGACAACGGTCTCGAAAAGAAGCCTTGGCTGCTTCTATCCCGCGCACCTGTGCCAAGCACCTGGGACTCCTACACCTTTGTGCTGCGCCTCTGTCAAACAAAATAGAAGCACACCACATAAAAGATAGGCGAAAACCTGCGCACCCGATCCAAGTATCTTGTAGGCAGGTCCTGCAATTTCCCGATATCTTAGGGCACGGTTCTTCTCGTTGGCCATATGCTCCACTTCTGCATTTACGAAGCATCGTGGCGGAGGTCGCCCGTCGATTTCGGCAAACTGCCTTGTTGTGGCACTTGAGGTGCCGCTACTTTGGTACGGTAGTGGCTTCACGAGCTAAAAGTAACATGATCGGCACATTCACTGAAGGTTCCGAGATCAACGTGGATGTCACGAGGTCGACAACGGAAAAGTTGAAGATGTTGAAGAGCATCACATGTTGCATCCTGTTGCACTTCCAAAAGAATGGCTCGACTCGCGCAGGCTCACGGCCGCGGAAGCAACGCTGAGATCACGCTGTGCTTTGACTTTTTGGGAGGGCCAGGATCAGAGCTATTGCCTAGCCTGACACGAGGGCGGGACGGACACAGTGAACAGAAACTATCAAAGCGATCATTGGTTGCTTGACGCACTTGGGCTTTAGCCCATATCGGTTGCTGAATTCGCATTTTGTTGTTCATGGGGACGCTCTGGCAAACCCTCCCTCCCCTCTCCACCATGCCCATTCGATCATCTCTCGCGGTGGTCGATGTCAAGTCAACTCACAGCCATGTCGGCCGACTTTTTCATGCCGCTGGACGCCATGACATTTTTTGCAAGCAAAGGCAATGCTCACAAAGACAATGTTAATGAATGCACCAGTGGGAAACATGCAAGCTCTGACAAGCTGCAGCCATGTGGAGTTCTCGGAGTCGCTGGAGGTGCTCGAGCAGTTGCTGCGCAACCGCGGCTCTGGATCATCCACTGCAGCATTGGGCTTGATGGCGCTCTCGATGTCGGATATGAGAGCAGCATAGGCCATGATGCGAAGATGCTTCTGCCTACATGTGCGAAGTAGACAACTTCGTTGATGCTCCAAGCTGCCTGTCAAAGTGATACATGCGAAGTCGAACAGCTGCATGTTTGCTTATCATGCATTACCTTCCAGCCGCATGGCATTGTATTCCGCGCACACTTGCCCTCTCTGCCACGCAAGCTAAGGCCTGCAGTGGTCTACCATCGCTTTTCGATATACACTGATGCTCTGAGCCAACACAAAACGAACTGCGTCACACAGTACATTCTGAACAGGCGGATGCTTCACAAAACAACAAACACGGATCGCCCCAGCCTCATGAACCACGAATACTGAGACCCGGCATTATGTCGTGATCATGAACTACCATGCAAGACATGCCAGGGATGTGGCTCTAGTTACTACGATTACCACCACTCCTACTCCTACTCCTACTCCTCCTCCTACTCCTACTCCTACTCCTACTACTCCTACTACTCCTACTACTCCTACTCTACTACTCCTACTACTCCTACTACTTCTACTACTCCTACTCCTACTACTACTACTACTACTCCTGCTACTCCTGCTACTCCTGCTACTACTACTACTACTACTACTACTACTACTACTACTACTACTACTACTACTACTACTACTACTACTACTGCTACGACTATTCCTACCCCTACCCCTACCCCTACCTTTGCTGCTGCTGCTGCCGCTACCTCTGATGCCTCTGCTTTTGGAGTCATTGCCTGTATACTAGTCGCATGATCACTTCCGACCGTTCTCTGCTGAAGACGACCCTGCACTACCTGTACCTCTAGGTTCTCTCGTCCATCTTAAGCAGTTCGAGTTCAGTTAAAACTTGGGGCGCAGGGACCCTCGGCTTGCGATGGAAGTAGAAGTCTAGGAGTGAAGACTCAAGGCATTGACGACATGAGATGGGTATAGAACATTGCAGAGGTAGCAATCACAATGCAGTCTTGGTGTAAGGCGGATTGGGGGAAATCGGACTTGCAAAAAACTGCCCCAGCACCCCAGGAGCGCACCAGGTGCAGTTTCCGGTGCATCTCGTGCTCCTTCCAGGGATCTTTGCTAAGTAGTGAGGGGTCCGTTGGGTTTGGGGCTTAGTTTTTTCTTGTTTGAAGGCCTTTCTGTCCGCGAGGTTTCAGGGTTTAGGGTTCCATGTTTAGGAAGGGTTTGTTGGGTCATTTCGAATTTCGAGCTTTGGGCTTAGACCCAGGCTTAAACACCTGGTCGAATGGGGCTTTAGTGTTGTTCCGGGCTCTTCAGGTCTCGGTCCCTTGGGTCATCAAATTTCCGTAAGCTTCCACGAGGACCTGGTGGTGCAAACTTCTGCATAGCCATGGGATCGAAAGTCAACCGCCTTCTTGCTCGTGAGGGGAAGGTACATGACTATGACTGCTGCTCATTGTTTGCTCCGACTTCTTCAGGGGACGGTGGACAAGACACTAGCTGCAGATTAAACTGAAAATCGATACCGTTGGTCTTCTCTTTTGCTTCCAAAGTAGTGATGTGCCTACCAGCAGTAGCAGGAGGACCAGCAGCAGGAACAGCAGCAGCAGCAGCAGCTGGTGCAAGTGGCGTTGTTGTTCTTGTTGTTGCTGCGTCTTGCTAGTTCTGACCTGTACTCAGTGTGCAAAGATATGAATCTTGTCGTTTGCCGCCTCTGGCAACGTCACCAGTTTTCAAGAACGGACCAACCGGAGGCCAGGGCACAAGCCACTAATCGAATAGTCACATGTCATGTCAGGTACACCCCCCTCGCAATACACAGCAGCAGTATTGATGGCAGAAGTCGCATCGCTCCTCCACGCGATTCAGCGGCAACTCATGCTTGGCCCGCCGCAAGCGGCTCTTGTCCGAAACCTAAGCAAATGCATGCTCTAAAATCCTGGCTTCGGACTTGAGGACTGTTGGCGGTCTGTGTGATTCTCCGACATGGTTTGAGACAGTACTGGTACGGCTTCTGCAACGAGGAAGATTGGCAATCCAAATTGCAGCTAAAAGCGGAAATGTTTTGGGCTCACGAGATTCTGCCAACATGCCCTGAGAAAACTTGCCTCCTGTGTAAGCATCTGGCCCACTCCAGCTGCATGAAGACGTTCTTCACACGTCTGAAGCCACTCCATTGGGGATCGAACCTTGAAGTGTTTAACCAGATCCATGCTGACATTTCTGTTGGTAGTACAACTCTGATCATGCTCATCACTGTTGAAGTGAAGTAACAGTACTTTCATGTACTTTCTATATACGCCTATTGCTGTGGCTCGAACTACTTTTACTTGTGCCACATTTCAATAATATCGTTGTTCACGCTTTGCTGATAGTCGTATAGACTCTGACGACAGCGATGCTATCCAGGCTGTTGGGCAGCTAACGCCGCGACGAGCAGGTCGGGATCTGGGTTTGGGCGGACTGGACGGTCGCAAGAGACAGTTTCGGATATTGGCACGCTTGGTTCGATGCCGGAGCTACATTTTGCAGAACTCTGCCCTACTGGTACGAAGTCAGAAAGCTTGCGGTGCAAGCCTACGCAGCGGCAGTGCATGCTAATGAAGAGGTCTGCTGCTCTCGTCTGGTCTCCAGTCCTATCTTACTGGGATATCATATGGCGTAGAGCAGGGATATGAGCTTGCATGGAGTCGTCATCGCTACTACTCCTGGTACCGTCGCAACTTTCATTCCTGCTACAAAACTGACTACTCTTAGCTTTTTGATTCCGACTCCGAGGCCCATGCCAATTCCGGGACAGCAGGCACTCCTGCCTCAGATCGCAGTGCAGCGGCTTGGAACACAGAGCCACGCTACCCGTAAAGGGATTCGGAATACATACACACATACGAAGACACCAAGATGTATGGTACATGTGGGCTGGAGAACCGCACATTTATGCACGTGAGGTCATATTCCTGGTGTATACTCTGCAACTTGTATGGACAATGACAATAACTCTACATACGGTTCGGCTTTGCCATTCGAGCCAATCGAGCCGACTGCCTTCAGGCACGACCAAAGCCTGACTGCACTGGGCATGAGCCGCAGGATTGAGAGCACTCAGTTGCTTGACGGCCTGCCCCGGTCGTGCCAAGGTGCTGAACACGGCAGACACGGGCTTGGCACGTTGGCCAAGAAAGCTGGCAGCCGGCATTTGGTGCGCAGCATTCGACAACTGTAAGGAAAGTAAGGGATATCAACCCTTACTTTGGCATGGGGCAGATTCCAAGAGGCACCTGAAGATTTAAATTGCACGCCGGATTCACCCCAAGAAAGCACAAGGCGGAATTCAGCAGGGAGGCCCAAAAGAAAGCCTATCGCCAAGCGGACGAAAGAAGATGGAAGAAGAGGAGCTGAAGGACCAGGAGCAACGCAGCCGCCCAGTCATCCTTCTTCGCTGCCGAGCTCCAGGCGGCAGGGACTTCAGCGGCTGTCTCTTCCAGAGGCGGAAGTCGCGGGCCTGGAGCGGTAGGCGGACTCCGAGTTTGGGCTTTCAATAACTGATACAATGCCGGATGTAGAGCTGCAGGGCTGGCGTCTAGGAGTCTGGAGGCTGGAGGTCGACAACCCTTTAAAGACGAGCAAATTCATGCGAAGATCTCCTGTCTCAAACCAAGCCCTGAGAGACCTCGTAGAACTGCTTCGGGATTGGCGTTTCGGCCGGCACCGCCAGTGTGTCCACCTGGGCAATACAGAGCTCGCTGTCGCCGCCCCCCGAACCACAGCGCCGGAACCGGGAGATAAGAAGAGCGACCTACAGCCACTCGTTGATGCTAGCAGGAACAGGAACGGAACGAGACGGTGCCCCATGGTTAATGGAGGTTAATGGGACTCTGCTCGAAGCTAAACAGGCTGCGTGGTCACGGACCGCATGGGATCCGGAAGGGTCAACCTCGTGGGCTTGGTCCGAAGCAGGTTGACAAAGCTCTTCAGTGCGAACACAGCCTTATGAGGATGTGCTTGGCTGCGCCGTATCCTGAAAAGTCAACCTCTTAAATTCAAAGCCACCAATCCCACGGGAGGTAGCCAAGCCCGCCACATCCCAAGGTACCGGCTCTTCATGATCGCGACAGTGCCTGCGGGTAGCTGAGATGACACTCGCCCACCGCCCCATGGCTACTGAGCCAAGCACATAAGGTCCACGAACTTTTCGATCTGAATCTCCTGCTCTCGCTGGCCCTCCTCTTCGACCTGAGAGCTCATCATTGCAGCCGAGGGTTTGGGGTTCACGAATGAAGTTTAGGGTCGGGGGGCTGAGGAGCTCAGGGAGACTGACGGGATCAAACCCCCGCCTCCTGCTGGCGCTCCTGCTCCTGCTCTCGCTGCTGCTCCGTCTCCAGTCCACGCCTGGGCGTCCGAGTCACTGCAGTTGCTTGGCTTCGGGGCACTTGGTTAGATCTACATCTAGCCCCGTTGAACCCAAACTCAAATCCTAGCATAGCACAACTCCTCGTCACGAATCCCAACCTTTGCGCCATGGCCTTAAACTGGCGAAGGGTTTGTGAAATTGGGGTGGTGGTTCGGGGTTCTGATTGGGCACTCGAACTACAAACAATCCATAGGTCTAATATGGAGGGTGACCCAAGCATTCAGAGCACGTCAAATTGAATGACATGTACCACGTAGTGTTGTAACCTTACCAAACAACATAATACAACTTCCGGTGAGTTTACAAGGATAACACGTTCTCACGCATCAAGTTCTTGAACAGGGTTGGAGTTGCGATCTTATGTTGGACTGCAAGAGTGATGGCCCGCTGCCGTCACCGCGAAAACGTGCGGCTTGACTGTCAGGAGTCAATGCTGGAAACAGAGATCCTCCGTCGCATGACTCTTGGATCAGCAACTTCGCAAACCGAAGCTATAGCCAGGCCGGATCCGTCAGCATACGCACAAACCGAAGTTGCCACGCAGCACAAGACCGAGACCCTCCAGTCCGAGGCTCTATGAACACTTTTCCCTTTCAGAAAGAGAGGCCCCAGCTCTCCCTGCGTCTCCTCGGTCTCACCGCCAGCCTCGAAGGCAGACATGCTTGTGTTTGTGTTCTGCTTGTTGTGGCACTCGTTGTTCATGAGAACATTAGAACTCGCAGGAATCGCAGGAGTAACACTGATTATTCGTTGTCGTTGTCGTCCTCCTCCTCCTCCTCCTTAGGCTTGAGTTAGGGTTTAGGACATTTAGCCTTTACTATCGGGGCGAAGCTGAGCACTCGCAGGAGCAATTAGGAGCAATCGTCGCAGCAGTGACAGGAGCAGTGTCGCAGCAGTAGTAGCAGGACTGTGAATGAGTGTAGATAAGTCACTAAGCCAGCAAGTAAGCAAGTTGGGAAGAAAGAATGTATATAACTAGGTATGCAAGTAAGTAGCCGAGCAGCAGTATCAGTAGCAGCAGGGCTAGCGATAGCCGTCGGTCGTGGTGTTGGAAGTGACAGTGGTTGGTCCAGGAGGCACTGGACGTTCTCCGACTCGCCCATGCCAAACGAGCCGAAGTTCAGAATAAGACTAGCTACTAGTAGTGCAACAACGCAGTCATTAATCCTGCCATCGATCCCCCAATAAGACTCCAAGACACCTCCCTCCTGACTTGCCACCTCGGCGAGACGTCGCATGTTGCCCCGAATCTCCTCGAGCTCCGGCCTGGTTCCAGTGCGCTTCGACGGGTTTGGGATCGGAGGGAGCGGTGAGTCGTTAAATCAAGCTTCAGGGTTTATATAAGGTGGGGTTTTGGAGGAGGAGGAGGAGGAGGAGGAGGAGGAGGAGGAGGAGGAGGAGGAAAGTGGCCCACAGATGTTACTGCGGCCGTCAACCCCCTTCCCCCCAAGCATCTCAGAGCAGCTCCGATGCCGTCATCGCCGCTCTCCGCGAGGGGTTCGAGAGGGCGGGTAAGAAGGTTAGCCAAGCTGCACAAAGTAGACAATACCGAAAATACTGAAACGACTCCCCTAGAGCCCGAGTGAAGGAGGAAGATGCTGTAACAATGTGTCGCACGGGAGTGACCCGAACCTAGTGCGCCGGAGCGATACACAACGACGGAAAGCGAAATGGAGAAGCGAACAGCAGTGCCGAGCTGCGAGGCGTGGCTGTACTGTAGGCCGCCACCCTACACAGCGGGGAAGAACCAAGCACGGTGGCAAGCCGCTTATCGCACGTGAGGGCCGCACCTACAACGGCGCAGATGGGGTGAATATGGTGCCGTGCTTGGAACGACACGGCAGTGGCTACCTCACGAGCCCACTGCAAGCCACACATTCATTTCTGGCCGGCCCAGACGTAGGAGGTTTAACGCAGAACAAGGCTCTGAACCGAGTGTGGCAGGAAGGCACTATGGCGTGGCTACAAGCGGAAGGAAACTGGAGGTGGCGGGGGGGGGATGGAAGCGGATGGGACAAGAAGCATGGGGACAGCAACAAAGGACAAAAAGCCGGACGGCCAGAAAACCGGACCGACAAGCAACCGAAAACGACAGGAGCAACGAGCGACGATGCAAACAGCGTGCAAGATGCATAAACCCTCTTTTACGACTGGGGGCGAAACAGCTCGACTGCATCCCTACGGACCACTATGCGCCCCTCCGCACTTAAAGCGCGGATGGCCCTCGTCAGAACGATGGGAGGCCAGTCGTCAGCAACCGTGGGAGCCCAAGCTCGCAGTTCCTGGAGAAGAGAGTCGATGGAGATTAGATCGCCACCCTCCAACTGCCGGAGGAGCCACCGTCGCACTTTGCGAGTTGGGAGTGACGATGCCGCAGTTGCACCGGAGCCAGCCCCCGGGTTGCAGTGCAATGCAGAGTGGCGCAGGTGCTGCAGAAGGTTTGCACCCAGCGTAGGAGGGGGATGTCGACGTGGAGCTGCAGCTAGACTTGAAGCCCACGCCCACCAACAGTCAGGACAGAGACGGATGTTTACGTCACCCGCTGCAACGTAGGAAGGGTGCGCACCGGAGTTCCAGCGGCAGCTTCCCCGATTGTGTACAACCGTGTTGCATGAGGCACAGACTGGGCCAACCTGGCCACGACACCAAGGGCATGGGTTGGCCGGCGAGTCCCAGGAAGGGAGGCAAGCACCTCTACAGGTCCAGCAAGCTACTATGCAATCAAGGTGTGCAGGAGGTGAACAGCGGCAGGGCACTGCAAGGGCGGCGACTGCATCCGACCAAGTTGGCCTCGGTAGGCCCCAATGAGCATTTCCGGCGACAAGGAAGGCCCCGCCGGAGTCCAGTAGCGCTTGCGCTAAGGCTGGTTCGCGCACACGCTGGCAGGGTGCTGCTGCTGCTCGCAGTCGTCGCACTGCCACTTCACAAGGATGGAGAGCCCAGCGGATTTCTCGCACGAGAGCAATGCCTGGAGGAGATGCTAGCCAGCGCTGCAAATCACGAGTAGGGGGGTGGATCTGTGCATGTGGAGCTTGATCCCCCTCTCCGGGAGGGGTTGGATCGGCGAGAGATATGCCTGCAAGATGGATGAACGCCGAAAGGCGTACCTGATAGGCACTCCGCACATATCGCAAGCCTAGCACAAGCCGCTGAGTGAATTGGATGGCCGGGAGCGCCCTACGCCTAGACACCGACAGGATGCGAAGCTCAGACTGGAGAGCCGACGATTGCCGCAGGGTGGCATATTGCTCCAGCTCTTGATTGGCCATCGCTTCCAACTCGGGGGGGGACAGGTGGCAGATAGCAGCGCCCAAAGCTTTTGGGAAGATACCGCGGTAAGCAAGATCGGACCCCGTCTCCCGAGAGCATGCGGTTGCACTGCTGCCGTTGACATCCTGGAAGAGCGCGGTTTCACGCTGCGGAATGGAGACGAACCAGCGCCAAGCCGTCAAGATTGGCCAACGTCGCGATGCTTCGGGGCCAGGGTCAGCGGGTATACCGCCTGGTGTGTGCCGCAGCGAAGCTCTCCACCGAGCCGCCGCTTGCTGGTGAGCATCCGGGCCTACACCCGCTGCGAGCTCCGCTTCAATGTCATCCCGTAGGGAGTTGACAAGGGGGGATAGCGCTGGGCACCCCATGATAGCCTCGGAGTGCCAGGCGCAGATGCACACAGTGGGCATGTGCGGGCAGAGGGCCATCCTGCTTGTTCCGCCCATGTGTTTGCCGTGAGTGATTCTGACTGGCTAACATGGAGCCTTTCCGTCCAGGCTCCACCGATGGCCCGGTGCAAGCGAAACGAAACAGCTGAAAGGTCTATGAGGAGGGGGTCGCCTGGAAGAGCCCATCGCAACCACGCAGGGGGGAAGGTGCATTGAGTGTGAAGAGACGGGTCGAGTGAGGGAGTGAATACTTGGTTGGCCACTCGAGGCAACAGTCCCTGGACGGGACGCTCGCTCCAAGCGGCTTCACTCTGACCCCGTTGCACCTGGCGGACGCATTGGCGAATGGGGCCAGTAACCATGCGGCCATCCAGGTCAACCCATGCGAAGGATCCGCCTGTTGGCAACCGCACGTCTGGTGGCGCAGTGCTGCGGGTATGCGCCGAACAGCCCGCATCCTGTGCTTCATTGCCCTGCGTTAACACAGGGAAGGGAAGTGAAGTGGCCGTCTGGTGGCTACGAATGTCTACACCTACGACACCATCTTCAGCGAATGCAATTTGAGAGAATACTCGCTGGTGGCCGTCAACCGGCAGTTGGATATTCCACTGGTGAGGAAAGCGCTGCTGATGCAGCTTCCAAGAAGGTGTGGGTGCAGAGCCCGACCAGGAGTGCCGGAGTTCTTCGAGAACGTGCTTGAGCAGCACCACCAAGGGAGAGCACTGCGAGGACAGAAGTCTGGAAACTGAACCGGCGACTGCGACCTGCATAGTGGAAAACAGAGCACTGCGGTCGAAAACTAGGAGGTGCCACTGGTCTTTACGGCGAAAGCGTAACGCACAAACCAGGGAGAGCAGTTCGGCGGTGTGGATGGAGGTGGACTCCCATCCGAGGCGATGGGGGAGCTTGCATGCTAATTGTGGGGAGACCCAAGCTGAAGAGTCCCAGTACTCCCCCAACCGCCCGAAGCTACGCGCTTGGCAAGCGAAAGTGGCACCGGATAGCTTTGAGTAGCCGCCATCGCCATAGAGAGCCTGGTCATCCGAATCCGCGGGTGTCGGCAAGATGGACAGCAGCAGGCGGGAGCGTGGGTCGCAGCGCCAGTTCCATGGGTCCTCCCATGCTTCTTCTGACCACTGCTCGGCGATGTAATCCGGAGGAGTGACGTGGAAAAGGGAACACTCCGTGGTCCAGTCTTGTTGAGACTGGGCACAAGCAAGAGAGGCAGCTCTGGCACATTCAGCCGGAGAAATGGGAGCGTGCTGGGGCAAGGCGCGACTCCAGAGGGCAGGGTCGTGCCAAGCCGCATGCGGGCCGTGCTGGAGCAGGATATCCATCCGTTTTGGAGCCGTCAAGGTTTAAAGGTTTAGGGGAGCTTCAAGGGATGTTGGGACCTCGGGCGTAATCATGGGATCCGAGCTAATCTTGGCATTAATCGAGCTGCAGCATGTAGGCTTCAATTAATGATAGAAGCCCCGCACTCCGAGCCCATCGACATGGTGCGAGTTCACCAGATACCACTGTCGCGTGCTAGTTACTGTCAACCTGCTGCTGAACGTCCTGAATATGTCCCTGTGACACTGTGTTGCAGAATGAGGAAGCGATATTGCTGCCGAAGACGTACTCCTACGCCCGCCTGTCCGCATCTTGGACGAAGCGCTGTGCATCTGCTATCCTGCGCCAGTTTCACCGACATGCAAGTTCACTGACTCCAGGAAGGCCGGCACCCCAAAACCTTAAACACGAAGTCCTGGATCTAAAGCACTAAGCCCCTTAAACTTCGTACTACCCTCGACTCCCCCTCGATGAGAGCTACCACAAAGGCTCCCTTAAGTTCGCAGTTCCAACTCCTCCTCTCAGCTGCCGCTCCGATAGTGTCCAATTGCCTCGATCGTCTCGAGCCGTAAGTGCTTGAGTTGAGGGCTCTGTTGAGGGGTACCATTAAAGGATACTCATAATAAGGGGTACCAGAAGGTTATCGATTTGAGTAGCATCAGAACGGGTACCGTAAGGGGTACGACAAGGGGTACACACGGCTTATCATAAGCGGTCATACAGACCCCACGAGTTACTTAATTTACTACTCCGGCAGTAAACAGTAAAATCTGGATACGACATTCTACACTGCAAACAAGTAATTCACACCATATCTGCAAGCATGCGCGGAGCACAAGCACAGAAGTGACACTGACTGCTCAGTGCCACACGGTACTTTTGACGGAACCTGTTCCACAAAGACAACCATGCTGCATGCGGCATGAGCTGGAAACGGCAGAGACAAGGCATGCAACGGCACCTTGAAATCGATGGGCTCCTTGTAGACTTGGACCCTTGCCAGGGTTTCTGGCTTCATGCCAGCCATTGCCTGGCAACGAAGTGTGAGGTGTGCAAAGCCTCACCGCATGTGTGTGTGTGTGTTATCTTGGTTTAGGATGCATGCAAGGGTGCTTCCAGAAATGAATGGCTGCACCAAGTTCGCTGTGGGTTTGGGTTTGCATGCGCCAAGCACCACAACAAAGCGAAGAGTATATTGGATGCATGTTCGCCGCACCAACTTCGAACTCTGTCGCTGCAGCTCTTATTCGTCCAGCAACCCTACTTCCAAGGTCTGGAAACTGCAAAACTTCGTAAATTCCTTGGCGTGAAACGTGTCCCTCCAAGCGAATTGCTTCCGATGGGATGCTCTCCCACTCCCGCACTAATGCGCTTGGGAATGTCAGGCTTTGAGAAACATAGCGAACTGCCGGAGCGACACTGGCAAGACGAGGATATATTGACATTGTCCGCACTGCTATACTGCTACTGCAGCCAGTGTCACGGATGTGAGGTGTTGGACCCCTCCTGATAGACTACCACGGAACCGAGCTCCGCCCTCTCTTTCCCACTTGCTGACCCATTCTTCTGGGACCGGCCTCGTAATCTTCCATGACCGCAGTGAGCGAACTCCTAGCAGCATGTGATTGACTGAAGATATGACAGCCTGGGTGATGACCTGCAAAATAACGATCCTGTGTTGATCAGATCTCGTGAACATCACACATGTCTCCGGTTATGTGTCGGCTCGTGGGACTCTATCTATAGGGTTTCGGAGGTAGCCATCAGAACAAAGGCATGGGCTTCGGGCAGCGGAACATAAAACTTCGAATGCATGAAGGGACAAGTTTTCTGTAAATGCCTGCTGCGGCAGTTTTCACATGTCCCTGTCGTTCCAGAAGACGATGCGCTGACATCAGCTTGCGGAGCCCTAATTTCCACTGCAAGCAACTGTCCTTCGCCAGATGTTGGCCAAGTTCTGCAGCTGCAACATGGCATATTGCACCTTCTCTGTCCGCATAGACCTCACACTTGTACTGCCACGTCAACGCTCGCAGCATCGCATGCTCGTCGCTTCGAGAAGCTGGGACCATGGCTGGCACAGCAGCCAGCAGGCCACTGCATCCAGAACACCCTGCGACGTTGCAGGTCGGGCTTCTATCGAAGCAAAGACACCATAAGCGACCGCAGCAGCGCTCACACGGATAAATCCGAGTCACTGCCGAGCTTGCTTTCACAAGACTTCGCTTCACTCAACTCCACACGCGCTTTGAAGGAACGGTCGCAGGCCTTGTGCCGGTTGCCCAGGGACGCAAACCCAGGCCTGCCAGCCCATCGCAACAAGTCGACTGTAACCCCTCTAATTATCGTTGACGGTGACTTTGAAGAGTGCTAGTGCTAGTGCTAATCCGATTAAGCATTCTGACGACGATTACAACTGTAGCAGTGATGCTTTTGTTAATGGCTCTCAAGGCAGCGACTCTGAACCAGACTTTACCATGTGCCGTTGCGCTCCTCCAATATCACCGCCGCTGCGGTTCAGACTACAATGCGATACTTAGTGAGCAGAAGAAGATGAAGAAGACGATGATGGTGAGGATGATGATAACTTCTTCACCATAACTAACTTTATACGGTTGCTACTCTTACTGGCTGCATTGTCATTCGTTTTGGCTATCCGGTACTCTGACTATGAAGGTTGAGATGGACAAACATGAAAGATGTGCAGAGCGAGATGTCGGCCATCTGCGACCAAGATGCAACTGAGGCAGATGTGCCAGACCAATGTCCCGCGAAATGAGCTGCTCAATCCTCGGAGGCCATACGAAAAAGACTCTTGTGATGGCGGAGAGAAGTGCAAAGATGCAGAGGAGCCGACTCTGGAATGATGTAGAGACAGATGCTCTGCCCCCGACCGATGCCACGCATCCTGGCATTGCCACAGATCGGTAAAAGGCCCTATGCGCTACAGCCATACTACCGGAAGAACTGCATCAACGAAATGGCAGATACTTGCTTCAGCCCTGCGATGTCACTGAATCACATCAGCTTGGAAGGTGGACTGAGGCCCTGGGGTGCACCAGGCCTGTAGGCACCCTGTGCAAAGTCACCTGCAGAGGGATTTGAGTTGGCAGACGGACGGGTGAGGGATTGCCAAGTCAGCTTGCGACTGAAAGCTCCCAGCCAATACCAGGCATGAGTGTAGTCCTAGTTCACGGGGCATCCCCACTTGCAGACGGGCCACGCCAAACCATGTCTTTGCCTCAGTCTCAGGGTCGTGAGAAATCTCTCAGCTCGGCTGTTGCTTCCAGTCGCTGGACGATTAGAAGCAGGCCTCACTGTCACTGTTGCCGATGCTTCATGTCTCCTGCTCATGTACCTACTCTTGCCAGTTTTAGAAACGTCAAAGGTTAGACCTTCCATCCAGTTCATGTGTAGTCGTTGAACTGCTTTGAGGGACGCGACTCGAAGTAACGATTCTGCGACTCTGCACTTGGGTTTCGGGATAGCCGTAGGGAGAATGACCGATCCGATACCACTCATTCATCGCAGCAGCTGGCTGTGTGGCTTTGAGGAGTAGGTCCCGCGCCCAAGGTAAGAGCCGCCACGGCATCTAAGCGATGTTGGATATCCATGCCTGGGGCAGGTGTAGGCGTTTGCTTTGTCGGGCCTGGAAGCGCTTCAAGCACAGCAGAACAATGCCGGGCAGAGCTCTGCACAGTTATGACATCGTGTCCACCGGATTCTTTTGACGACACGGTTCGTTTGGGAGTACATGGCTGCCCTTGCAGAGCCTCCAGGCCTGGGATTGAAAAGCATGGCTTAAGGTTGATAGATACATGTCACAGTTTAGGAAGTCATGTTGAGATCGCTCCTGTAGTGTGGATCTGATCGTAGAAGCAGAATCTTGCCGAGATGGGAACTCCGCTGTCCTCGGCATTCGGCAGCACAGGTACCAGTATCGAGGTTACGGGTTCAGGATGAGAAGTACCCGCATTTAATAAGTTTCAGCACGCTCTGCTGAGGTTTTCTGCAACAACAGCCGGGTCCGCTGCAGAGTGGCTGCTTAGATTCGCATAGATTCAATATTCCTTGAGCGATCTTGAGCCTCCCAGCCCCGACGGCCTGCGGCCCACCTCCGGCTTTATCCACCGAAGATCCCAGATTCTGAACCACAAGCCGCCCAAGCCCCTCAACCGATGATTTACGCCGAAGTTGGCACTGTCGAGGGCCCCTGTCGAGGGCCGGACGGCCAGCTTGCCGACCTCGCGAGACTGTCGGTTCCTGGGCACACGCAGGCCGTTTGCAACTGCGTTTGCCCCTAGCCCTAGTACTCCCACCTCGATGTCTGCTGCGGCTCCGATGATGATGACAACCACACCGAGGACAACTGCTACGATCGGATACTATCAATCTCCGGATGTCTCGTTTTGAGCTCAACCCCCGGTCTGAAAGTACACCATGCCAGCACCCTTTGATACCAAAGCCGCCGCGGATTTTGAACGGAAGCTTCAAACACCCAGGGCTTGGACAGGATTCGCTTTGCGCCATCCTCTTCGATGAAGACGACACCCTCAGCCACTTGCTGAGTCCAACAGGTGGCCACACCAGAATCTAAGAAGTGAGACCACGCTTCCGTGTGTGAGTTCTACACCAAGATCTTTGTCATTTGAGGCTCCGATGTTGCGGCCTTCGCCATGGTTGCTGCTATCACTGCGGCACTTATGAACATTACATACTACCCATGGCCCATGGTTAGGGCCCCGAAGTTGGGCTTATGGCCTCGATCCAATCCGGCAGAGTGATGGGCATGGAGCCGTCCGTGCCTGGGATCGAATCTCAATGGCCTTCAGAACTGTTGGGGTTTCGGATGCACTATGCAAGGCTTAGGGCATCCGGCGGTTGGCTTCCGTCTCAAACCCTTACGTTCCCGACGGATGTCTCAGCTCTGTCCTCAATCTGCACGAAAAGGCCACGCAGCATTCGTAATTGCGAAAGCCGTCTTCCAAAGTGAAAGTGCATTTACTGAATTGCAAAACCTCTTTCGGCAGCTACCCACAAATCGCTACCACTACATTTGCACACAGTTATGACTGCCACCTCAGAGAACAGCCCGCCATACATGGTTCAAAGCCAGCTTTCGTCAGAAAGATACCCCCTCAGGGAATTCAAAGGAACGGCTACTGGATCTGGCTCCGGGCGCCCTGCGCTTTTTTAGTCCCAGAAGATGCTCTGCAACCTCTTTGTTTGTCAAACCTGTGACGAGCGCCTTGGCCAAAAAAGGCTCAGCCAGGCTACTGTAGCTACCGCTGTCACTACGAGGATGCACACAAAAACCCTGCGGCTGCTGCACTCCGGAATCAACTGCCGACTTACCAGAGAAGGCCATCCAACGTCTCCAAGCTGCAACACTAAAGTGTGTAGCACAGAAGTCACTATCTGGACTTTGTTCAACCTAATGGCCCTAATTACATAAGACCTGAACCCTCACAGCCCCGAAGCTGAAGCCTTCGTTAAGCCCTATTTATATGTGTCAAGTCCGACAAGCTCGAGCAAGGAGGCCCAAATTCCGAGGCTTTGGCTCCGGTGTCGATGAGCGCTTGGCATTCACCACGGCATGCGGCTTCGGCCACAGCGTCCAAGAGCGCCTGCGAGAGATCTGCAACACACTGAAGCCCGCCTAGACCTAAACCCTGACCCTCGTGGTTTTATGTCTGCTGGGATTTGCCTTGATGCGAACTGTGTGCACAAGAAGAAATCACTGATGCATCAAACTGACGACACCACTGACGACACCGGCCAAGATGGGATCATGCAGAGACAGTTGCTGCATGCGCAATTCGTAGGCTTTCGACGTTTGTCAAGCAACTGCGGGCTTTTGGAGGCTTGAGTTTCCGGAGGTTTGATCTAACTACACTCACTGCCCTCCAAGCATGAGACATGCAGTACAGTGTGATCAACAGTCTGAAGCTCGAGCATAGAAAGACACTTGATCATGCACGCCTCCACCGTCCAGTCTGCACCCAGCGTCTTGAATGACACGATCGCAGGCGAGGTCAGGGTACTCACGACCTCCGACGGACTGCAGTCATTGCACTAGTCTGCAGGGCTCTTGTGAGGTCGAGAGCTCATCAACGTTCAATCCGAAACCGTTTCCAAGCAGGTCAGAGTTCGGTGACTCGGCGACATGATGTCTGGCCCCCTGTCGGTTTCGCTGAAACTAGGAAAATTGTTCCGAGCCCACCCATCCCCAAATCCTGCGAACTCCGAATTCCCAAGTTCTGGTGAACCCTGCGTGGCGGTCGCCGGTCGCCTCTCCCTCACTTCCAGGCTCGTATTCGCACCTCGGCCCACGAGCGCAAATTTCAATGACTCAGATGGGGGGAACTTGGACTTGGACCTCTGCAGCTCTCTGCTTTCTGCGTTAGTTTGTTGGTTTGAAGGCTGAGAAGCCTGGAGACTGGGTCTACAGCCACAGGGCCTGGGGCTTTTCTGACCATCTGTGCCCGGCTCACCGTATCCACGCAAGCGAGAAAGGAGAGAGAGAGAGAGAGAGAGAGAGAGAGAGAGAGAGAGAGAGAGAGAGAGAGAGAGAGAGAGAGAGAGAGAGAAGGAGGGAGGGAGTGAGTGAGACAGAGGGAGACAGAGGGAGGGAGGGGAGGAGATGAACTCGGACCCGTCTCCCTCCTCCCTCCTGTAATCCAGCGAAGGCTCTGTCCAAGTTCGCGCGGCATCAGCTCACTGGGAGTGCCCGAGAAACCAAGCCTGCCGATTTGCGGAAGTCCGGGCATAACCCCTGCACTGAAGCCAGCGTAAACGACAGACGCCTCGAGGCAACTCCCCCATGGCTTTGTCAGCCGGCAGTGCTAGCACATGGTGCACCCCGGCTTTGCTGAGAGGGGAAGGGGAGCTGCCCCTGGAACCCAACACTTTCAAAGCCAAGGCCTAAGGCTGATCATCTCAAGTCCCCACGACGAGGCCTCTGCTTGAAGAGGATGGAGCCACCCATCTCCTGTCCGGAGGCAGAAAACCTGAGCCAGGTGTCACAGATTCCAATAGCCACAAGCTCGGAGAGCTTCGGAAAACCGAAAGCAATCGCCCCCCCCATGTACTGGAAGGTAGAAGATCTCTCTGTGAGAGCTGGGCTCTGGAGGCTTGGGCTCGAAGTTTGGTCTTTCAGGGGCCATCAGTTATGGCCACAGATGCTTCCATGGTGATATATTGATGTGCATTGCATCTCTGTTACGAGTACGTCTGGCTGTTGCTATCATTGTTCTTCCTGAACCACTGAAACTGTCACGACTACAAGTACTATGTTTGTAGGTGCTATGCTTAGCCGTGTAGCATTGCCTTCGCTTTCCTTGTCGTCTCTATGAAAATTTGGGCTATGCCTGTCCATCATATTCCGGATAGAACAGTTGCCATTTCTTGACTTTGCCATCATCGCGCATCATCAGCACACCCGGACTGGGGGCGGCACTTCTGCTCCTGGAACCGCATGAAGTTGGGAAAGATATTTGCCTCGAGGTAGAAGTGAATGGCCGAGGGCAGCCTGAAGTCATGGATAGTAACTCAGACGCATCCATGCTTTCACTATGGACTGGATGTAAACGGTACCAGAACGGTACGAGTACAGTGAGTAGAAGTTGTGAATATCTACGGAGTGTAGTAATTACGAACGATGGGGAGCTCAACCCAATGAGCATATACGATCAGGGTTCCGGGCGGATTCATAAAGGGATCATGACTCTATGGCATATGAATATGCGCTGCACGATCTACGATAATGCCGGCGCAGCACCTGCATCTGAAGCATCGCCAAACCCCGAAGACCCCGAACCCTAAAGCTCTGAACTTCAAGGCCACAAAATCCGTCCAACCACAAAACCCACAGGTCCCGAAGGCTCAAAGCACTCGGTCGGTACCTCCGGAAGAGCTCGAACAGCCTCTGCATCCTGGGATTGAGGGTCTCGAGCCGAGGGTACATAGGGTATATTGGGTTGTATAGGGTTTAGAGTCTACGGTGGGTAGGGAGCAGCTGTTTTCGGGCCCAGGTCGCTTCCCGGGATCTTCAAAGTTTCACGCACACTGGGACGCATCCTTTCGAGATTAGTGGGTTTTCGGCTGTTCTTGTTCCTGTTTTGCGACAGCGTAAGCTAGCTCGCCTTTGAAGCGGGGCGATGGCCGTCATGACGATATGTATACTGATGCCATGTATGGCAACACCTTTGATCAGAAACATGTTTGGATATGACTAGCACTTCCAGCACCGTCAACGGCGCTGCGAACGAAACTAACTAGAAGCATAACGATGACACTGCTGACACTGCTCAGAACGAGAACAAAAAAATAATCCAAACACATTTCTGGAATTGAAAAGCTCGGCCGGCGACTGTGGCGCATTCGTCTTCTCCAGAAGGTGCAAAGGAAGGACCTTAGCAAAGTTCATGACAAAGAGCATTCGATTCAGGTCGGGTTTGGCATTTGGAGAACAAGGCATGCCGTTTTGTGAATCGTTGCAGGTTTTTCCTCCTGAAACCAACGCCCAAAACACCCGGTCCCACACACTGTTATTTGGAGGTGCACTGGCAGGTTTAAACGGGCGAAAGTAAGTGTAGGAGGATGCTCATTACCCCGCTCCTTATCACCGCAATGAGCTAGCTGCTCAATTTGCACAGAAACCGTGCCAAACCGCCCTATAAACCCGGACTCGCAAACGTCTCAAGCCCAACTTTAGACCCCTAATCCCAAATCCTGAACCCCCCCTCCCTCAACCCCAACGCCTGAACCCTGAACCCCAAACCCCACACAAACTGCCAAAATGATACATTCATAATAATGAGGAACGCCCGAACTAGTAGTTATAGGTAATTATTTACAAGGCCACCGTAGCTCCGGGCGCGCGGTCGCTTGTCAGCTCGAGGATCTTCGCCAGACTCCTCCAGAGAACGGCTTGAAAACTCACTGGAGCGGTCTTCATCTAGTGCCTTAATGCTATAAGATTATAAGATTATGAGAATAGTTAGAGTAGGGTTGTTTTACATTTACTGAAGGGGTGTTTTGTCCGGTTTTACAGGGGATTAGTGTAGGGTGCGCAAAGATTTGACCAGGGTGTGGATCTGCACTGTAGTGTTCATTCAGGCCCTCGTATTATGCGGCGCTCCCTTCTTGTATATGCGCTCCAGTAATTACTTCACTGTCAATTACAGCCTGGACGGAAACAAAACAAACAAGGCTGGCCGCTGATTTTGTTGTTGTTGCTGCTACTATGTGCGTGTGCTCGTTGTGATTTGCTTGGTCATTGACTTACAGCGACTCGATTTAAAGTGACTCGCCTAGTGTCATGTGCCCCGGGATCTGCACAAATTCAGGGTTAGCTTGCACGGAAAGTCCTTTGCCACTTGTTGTTTGACTGTGCACCTGCTTAACATAACATTCATTCGCATGTTGCCTCCTAGGAAACCTGTGCATCAAACCCGGGTCTCGAAATCAAGCATGAAGCTCAAAGGCAGTTGGGCATCAACCGCAGTGGACAATGATGTCCCGTACGAAAGTCTTGTGGTTGCCATTGGCAGAATGCACTCCATTCTCGGCTTCTGCTTTCTCCATGCTTGTTGAACTCGTTCCGTGCCCACTGCTGCGAAAACTGTTGTGCTTTATCTGCAACCGGTCGGCTTCGCCGAGAAGTCACGAAAAGTGCATCAAGGGGCAGAAGGGGAACGTGCGATTGCTTCATGGCTGCACACAGCTCGCTCAGAGCCTAGACTTCGCAGCTGAGCCTGCCTTGTTGTCGAAGCGGGCACAGAACTCGCCTTGCTGTTCACCGTGCTCTTGGGATGCCTGATTGCATCGCTCGATGTTTGCGAGGTGCACGGCAGAGGGTTGCATGACACAGCCTTTGCGGAAGTTCGCCCAGCTATCGGTACCCTTCGGCTGACTTCCTGTCGGGGCTACCTGGCTACGAATGAGCGGCTTCACATCATGACCTGCAAGTGACAGTGGGGTCTTCCCATACCAGTCAAGGACGGCCGGGTCCGCTTTGGCTTCGAGAAGAAGGGCGGCACAAGGCCGGGAGTCGCGCCAGGCGGCCAAGTGCAAAGGTGTCCATCCGTCCAAACCTGGATGTGACACGTTGGGATCCGCCTGAGCTCCAAGAAGCAGCTCCACACAAGCTGCATCCTTCCGGTCACAAGCGCGGTGCAATGGCGTGTAGAGATCCACATCTGCCTTGTCCACATCTGCGTCCGATGCCACCAGGCGTTTTAGAGCCTCGACGTCACCTTGCCGAGCAGCGACGTGAAGCTCCGTCTCCAGTTTGAAGCCTTCGCCCTCACGTGCCATGGCGCAGACCGAAGACAGTTCAGTGGGTTGCCTGTTCTATGAGGACTACTTATAGTCACAATCAGTATTAATGCAGTATGATTCAATGCTTTGTTACTCGAAAGGTTAGAAATTGTTGCTACAAATGTACGCTGATATCTTATGCATAAGGAGCTCAATGTTCCAACCCCCGGTAATTCAAGTGATGCAATAAAGTAACTGTACTCACAACTAGTAATGATGCATGCGGCGGGGTAAAGTCAACTCCTCAGACAAGCATGCCAAAAGCGGATCTGTATGAAAGGGTAGGCAAGCCCCAGAAGCAAATGCTTACACTGCAACAGTTCTGCCTAGGCCAGGAAACCGGAACATAAGTCGAACTGGACTCTAGTGCGCATGAAATGTCAAGGCAGTTGAAGCAGGAGCCGAAGCGAAGCTGTGAGCGTAAAGAAGTGTCTGTGGCACCGAGTGGACTCCGCCAAATGCAACCGATTTGAGTGAGCCCTTGAGTTGAATGCCAGGAGGGAAGGCACCCGTAAGCGACGACAACAGAGAAGAAGAAGAAGAAGACAAGGACAAAGACCAAGAAGAAGACTAGGACCATTGGGGGAGTCGGACCTGCTGTCGCTTTGCAGATGAAGGAGTCCTCGGTGGCCGCACGCTCGTCCATCTCTCTCTGCTTCACGCAGAAGACGGCCCCTGCTTCCTCCACCCAGGACTTCCAACCTCGGAGGATGAAACAACACGACAAAGGGACTTCTACGAGGTCTCCACTCCGAGGAGCATTGTATGGGTGCAGCTGGCATGTTGGGATGACAGCCTCTCAGACTTCTCCGTGCAGCCCAGTTGGGCATCTTGAACTACCCGGACTACCCCCTTCCGTTGCACAGTCTCCATCGCGTCCCGAATCTATCACAGACCTGGAAGCCTGGAGGGGATTTGTTTCCGGGCTGATCGAATCGGCCTCATGGGTACTTCCAGTGATTTCATAGTAGAACATCTTGAGCAGAGCTTTTGGCCCCCGAGGTGCTGCGGGGAAAGTGGTGCGACAAGGTGTAGCCACCGCTGAAGCCCCAACGGCCCCTAGTTCCGATAGCCGGCTCTGCGTCCAAAACCCCAGTACCAGTGGTGTCGGCAGCGCAAGCCTGCCTCCTACTACGTACAATGCCGATCTGGGTGCTTCCAAAATTTGTGGCGCTGTTGCTCTTACACCGTGTCAGTCCATTCGCCCTACATCGCCCCTGACGATGGTGTGACTGTAATCCTTGTCTTGCCAAGACCAAGCTTGGCCGCCCCGCGGAGGGCTGTTGGCCTCTCCAGCTGGGATCCACCACCCTCGTTCTCTAAGCGGTCCGCCAGAGCCGACATGACCTGCATGGGCATGGACCAATTCAGAACCAACATGCATGGGCACGTATGTATGTATGTATGTATGCATGCCCGGGACTCTGCCTGAGATTGCGCGTATATACATATATGATCATATATGCACAAGTATGAGACCTTGCATGTGTGTGTGTGTGTGCAGATACGTAGGGCTCAGATCGCCAGCAGCGGCTGGATCCACTGTAGCCCCAGTGTCAGTAGACACGAAAGCATCGCGAAGCCATCTCCAGGGTGGCATCGCCGGGAACGGCTCAAGCGCTCCCGTGCTCGACGACGTGTCCGGACTGCCATTAGCGCTGCCCAGCGACCTCGACTGGTCGATCTCCAGCTCCTTCGCGAACACCACTCGGGAGATAGGCGTCTTGGCATGGGCAAGACATGGAAACAACGCGGCGGACACAACAAAGACTCATGGGAAGACCATGGCTATGGCTATGGGCAGGATGGACGTGCGCCATATTTGCCCAAGGGGGCAATATGGAAGGGGGCCTACTCGCCGCGCGCTCCTTGGAAGCGCGATGCGGCTCAGACGCCCAGCTTTCCGAGCTACACACAGTTGGCTCCAAAGGATGCTGGACAGAATGGCCCGCAGCCCACCGATCCGGCCTATGCTCCGGACACCGTGCTCACAGAGCTACAGAGAGCATTGACGACTGCGAGAAAGGCGGAAAACAGGGTCCGGAACCTTGTCATGCAGAGGGACAAACGATCCCAGCAGTGGGAAGCCTACAAGGACCAGCTCGAGAAGGCTTTCACACAGGAGTACAAGCGTTTTCAGGCGGACACCCTCAGGATGCAGAAGGACCTAGAAGCTGCAGCCCACAGTCAAGACGAGGCACGCAGGGATGTCCGAAGAGTGTACAATGGGGAGCCAACAGTGCCCTCCAAGATGGAGATGCAGGCCAAGGAATCAGCTGCTGTATGGGACTCGATGAGGGAGAGTTGGGAGAGGTCACGATGTAGACATGGATGGTGTCCTCCAAAGGGCCATGCAAACCTCGAGGGAGGCCCACCTTTCTTCTGGAGAACCAACCCCTGCTATGAGCACTGGCCCGGAGTTCCTACAGCAACTGCTTGCCAATCCAGATGTTCAGGTCGGAAGCACCGCCGAGGGCGGATGTCAAGTCGGCGACGCGCACCACACCGCAAAGAACCCCGACACATCGTGGACTGACGGAAAAGTTGGAGGAGCGGCGAAACCAGGCACGCCACGGCCAAGCTCTTCGCCCATTTGGACTGCCTGCACAGCCACCCCCTTCTCAGAGCTCGAATGCATCGAAAGAGCCGGAGGAAGAGGACAACAACGAGGAGCTCAATCATACCTCCCCAGGCTTTGGCAAACTCGAGTGACCTTTAGCGAGGTGTCCTCAGTGTGCTGTTCCGGTTCCAGATGTGAGTGCAGGCTGTGGGGGCAAGATCCGGTTGAAACCTCATTGGGGAGGTCTCGCTGTGCTTGCCACCCCCCCGGTCAATGTACTTACACCTGGGATGGGGAGGGCCAAACTGATGGATACCTCGGGTCTCACAACGTAGCTAGGTTCCTGGGTGTCCGCTGTGTACATAGCAGAGCAATTGAGCCTTTGTTATCCCGCCTCGACTCAGTCATCCTCGGCTGCCTTGGATGCTCCTTGGGCTCTGGAGTGTCTTTGGGTAAGCCCCCGCCTGCACAGGAGGTATCCATATCTCCTTGCAACCTTGCTGTCTCTGGAGGCATCGCGGCCATCTCTCTTTGGCCTTTTGACCATGGGCAGGTCTTTGTCACTTCTTTTGTGAGTAGACAGTCTGCGGTAGTGCCAAACACGCACATCGGTGGCTCTGGGGTGCGGGCTACTGCTCTGTCTTTCTTACGGTTTTCGTGCCAGGAGCTTCTTGTCTCCTTCACTGCTTTGTGCACGGGAGGTGGTTCTTACCGAGGACCCAACCTCACGCAATACCTTCGTCAGCCTCTTGGGTCCGCGACAAGACTGTTGGACGTTCTTGTCGCCATTGGCTCCTTTCTGGTGCCTCTTTTCCGGGCCGTATCTTTCATTTTTGTGCTTGCCTTGTATACATGCCTATGGAGGCAAATCCCCGACCGTCACGAGCCTTTGGGCCGCCTTCTCGGTCTGCCTTGCAAGGGAGTAGATGTGAGGGCACTCCAGTGTCTCCGTGATTTTTCTCCGCGGCAATCCATAAGTCCGAGCTGCAATTCTGAAGGCCGTACGAGACGAAAGCATCCATCTGGGTCAGCAGTTAGCTCTTCATCCCTTGGACACAAGCTTGTGATGTGGTGCTTGCTGATGCTCAACTGCCCGGACTGTATATGGGCAGCTCCTGTGCGGCCCTTGGGGCACAGAGTTGGTGTATTTCCACACACATTTGACAGCCCTGATTTGCTTCCAGATAGAACACCAGGCCCTGACGACCAGGGTGCTTCACAACTAGGAAACTCACCCCGACCTATGCTTGAGTCCTCTCTTGCGTGCGTTGATCTGAGGGTACAGTGTGTACTCTTCGCACCGGGATACCCCACACAGGCCGTGCAGGTCCCTGTAAGTGTTCCGGTAACTCCTGAGAGTTTCCTGCTGACTGTTGTTGAAGCCCTTGGCCCTCAGCGGGCTTTCTTCGCCGCTGACCTTGATTTTGTTGAGCCTCAACCAGCAGAAGGCTATATTTCGCTTCTTCTTGTCCCACAATGGGTTGAGCACTCTGACAAGGCCGTGATAATTTTCGATTTCTTCTCTGTCGGAGGACCTGTCTACGCTGCCCTTGTTCACAGAAGCATCCGACATGATGAGGTCATCGAACATGCTCTGAAGCATACCATTTCTCCGTGGGACGCCTTTCAAACAGGGCACCCTGATCCACTCAGGTCCGACAGGCCTCTACGGGTTAAGACCGGGGACACGATAAAGTTTGTGCCAGTCTACGACCGCCCACACTGGTACCCAGATTCGGTAGATTGTTTGCTTGATGCTGACTTCTTATCCGCTGAGGTAAGGCAGATTACGAGCGAGGAGGTGTCAGAATCCTTGCTTGTTCTAGCACCTAACATCGACCGAGACATTCTTCATACGAGCCCTTCTGAAGAGGAACTCGTATCACATGCAGCAAGTGCCCTGCACTGCCACAGGGACCACCTCATGCTCTGTGTCCCTGACAAGGCTGACCTAACTCCCTTCGTCTACCAGGGGTCCTTGCTCGCTGGTGTTGTTGCTGCTCGCCAAAAGGGGCCTGATGAAGATTGCAATGCCACGATCGGTTCGTTCATCTTCATTGACTGCCGGCCAGTTGGAGGCAAAATCGCCGTCCATTTCACCAGCGACTCTCCTGTTGAGGAGGTTACCGTGCTTCAACCACTTGGACTTAGACCCCCGCTCGGGTATCAGACAGTTTTAAGTGGTTCTCCGCGGTTTGGGTCTGCCCTTTTTGTCCGCAATGGGAGTGTCCTCACTGTTGCGTTTGAGCCATCCGCCACCTCCGATGCAGTTGGGAATGAACATGTGTTTTCCGAAACACAGGAGGTTGTTGATATGCGCAACCCGTACCATGCGCCCGGTGGCTGTCAAGGTGTACCATGGCAAAGAACCGTCGATGTACGCCGTCCGGTGCATCCTCCCACCAGGTATGACCAGGAGGCGACTGTTCCTCCTTTGCAAGAGTACGCCCGGGAGCGACCGCAGGGAGCACCTCCGCCGACTTTCTTGCAAGGGCATTTTCTTGTCTTTGCGCCACGATACCGGGCTGAGGTACTACCCCTTGTCATGCGTGTCCCTTGTGATCCAGATGACGCGCTTAATGAAATCCAGGATGCTCGAAATGAGGATCAGTCCCTCTACTTCGACACACTTCTTCCAGTCGAACCACAGCCGGACAATCGTTTTGCTTGCATTTTGTCCCTTCCGGAATGGGCTGCTGACCGTTGCCATGTGCTGATTGACCTTCGGCTTGTTGATGGGCGTCTTTTCAGTATCATAGTCCCGGATCAACTCTCCAGGGAGGAGCTTCTTGCGCAGCTCTCTGTTCCTGTGCATCTTGGTGTGCGCATTTACAATGCCGACCGGCTTGTTCCAGAGGGCCAAGCCATCACTCCAGAGAATGGAGGGCTGATTTCTGTTGTTCCTTCTGATCGTCGAATTGGCACACTTTTCACCTTTGAGGAGCTCATTGCGACTGACAGAAACTGGGCTCAACCGTGCCCGATGTACCCTGGTCCAGTGCCTGCAGCTGTCTTGCTGTGCTCCGATATTGGTCTGAGCCTTGTGTCCTTTCCACCGTCCTTGCAAGATTCGCTTGACTCTCTTCATGCCCGTGTTGCCACGCAGCTTGGGTATACTGTTGGCAACTCTGTTGTGCTTCAATCTGACCCAGGCATTGAGGACGTTGAACATATTGGACATACATGCAAGGCCATTTGCATAGTTTCTGATAAATTTGGGGGTCTTTCTGGACTTGCGGCTCCATGCCAGCGACATCTTGTACTGATAGATGCACGTCCGATTTTCCGCGACTTTGAATGGCTTGTCGCTGTCAACGGGGTTCTTGACTTCGATGCTTTGTGCCGAAGATATTCTGTTGACCTCCCAGCCGGTCTTGCTGTCAACATTCGAGGGGGTCGTCATGAACTCAGGGGTGATACCAACTATGTACATGTCAAGCAAGCTGGTATTCTTGTTGTCCAGTACATTTTTGACTACCTTGAAGATTCGTCTGCACATGAAGGCGAGCCTCCTGATGAATCTTCTGAATCTGACCCTGCAGATTCCACCGACTCTCCTGACGACACAGGAGGCAGCAGCGGAGCTAATGCTGTCACACACGGCATGAGAAGTGCCTCTCGTAGCCGTTCGCCCAGGCGCAGTCCTGTTGGTCCGTCTCTCGGTGTCATGTCCTCACCGAAAAGCTCCTTTGGTGTGTCGAGCACCCTCGTCGGCTATGGGATTCCTAAGATTTGCGTTGATCTTTGCCGGGCTAATTTCGGACCGTGGTTTAGCGAGTTTCATGTT